CAGGAGCTCTGCTCAGAAATTCCTTGTGTAGAGATGGAAGATTTGCATGTGTATTCTTCACGTTATGCAACCTAAAATAAATAGTGATTAACAAGTGTGAATTTCCTGAGATAGATACATTGTTTCAGAATGAGAAAGGAATAACCCAGAACCTTTGCCTAAAACACTAAATCCACTCAGATCTTTGATGGTGTTTTCAAAAACAAAATGCTGCTTTTATCTCCTCCCAACTAATTTTTTGCAGTTGTTTGTCCACACTGCTGGCCAATGTGGAAAAAATCCCATTAAGCAACATGAAGGAGCCCTGTTGGGTTTCTAGCCTGAATGGAAGCAGCTCCAAAGGAAATTTATCAAACCTGTAGGAGGGATTTTCTACCTATGGGCCTGAGCTTGAAATCACTCTGTAATTTCAAAAGGAGTCTTATTCCTGGTTTCTTGCTCTTTTGCTGACTGTGAGGGAAGGGAAGGTTGGTGTGCTGCTGTAGGTGCCAACACTCTGGGACCTCTAGCAGTGGGCAACAGCAGGACCATTCAGACTCAGTAACTATATGCAGAAAAACCTCCTGGAAAACTCACTGTGTGTAGATGAAAGATTTGTAGGCAGATCTTTCATGTATGCCATGAAGTCTGGCAAAGATGATGACCTACTTTGTGCCAATGAAATGTACAGAATTAGCTAAGAACAGAAAAATGCAGTCCCACAAACCAGAGGGCATAAAAGCTGGAAAATATCTGTGGATGAAGTGCAAAGAGCCCCAAGCTCCTTCGAGGTGCTGAGAGCCTAAAAAAGAGCTTCATTTCCAAAGGGGACTCATTAATCCCTTCATGAGGAAGCAGCGCTCAGTGCACACAGAGGCATGCTGTCTTAGAGGAGAACTTCCCAAGCCAGCTGCAGCAGAAGGGGCACCAGCTCCATCCTCTTGGCTACCACAGACACAAAGGAGTGAAATTGGTCTCTGCCAGTGAGAAAAATGTGATGACTGCAATGTTCTCTCCTGTGACCTTAATGCTATCAGGCAACTGATTCAACAAAACAGTCAGCAGACCACCAGAAAGATCCTTTTCTTAGACAGCAACTGTGACCGCACTGACTGCTCCTTTCATCCTTCAGCAAAACACTTAGATCTTCCCTGCCAAGCACACAAGCAAGTATCTCCACTTCCAGGTCCTTTTTGCCTTTTCACCTCTTATCTGTTGGCTGTGGAGAGGGTGACTCCCACCCTCCATGAGTGGGAGTGTTCATTGCTGCCTTGTTTACAGGGAAAACAAGGCTTGGTGGGGAGCTGAATGCATTAACTAACTCCTCATGCTCCCTCAGCCTGCATGCAAAGCCTACAGGACACCTCGACTAGAGAGACATTGATCTGGCTGTCTTTGAGGCTAACCAATACAGCCCTTTTTCTTGCTGTTTTCCAAGCAATCTCAACTTAATCTCTTGCTCCTTGTCTAACACCCAGATAAGCTCTTTTGGAACATGCATTTCCCTTTTTCCTCAATTTCTACATCAGTCTGTACTGACAGCTCCAAGAACTATGATGACTGAAGCAGAAGTACCAACGAAGATCACAGATCTCTGAGGGCAAAATCTGACTACTCTGCTTTTCAAGGATGGGCTAAAGATTTAGTGCGAGAACCAAAGTCTGGTACACCCCAACACTGATTCAGAGCAGCTCCCATGGCAATAAAGGAAGATGTAATTCACTCACCTTAAGCCTGACCTGTTCATAAATAACAATGGGCCTGTTGCTGAAGGTGATGGCATTGCAGAAGCTAGCCTGGCGCTTCACTGCCTTCTGTGTTGTGTCCATGATGATCTGGGATCCTTTTGTGTGGGGATGGAAAAGCAGAGGGCTGATGGACAGAGCTCCACACTGTGGGATGGGGAGACAGTGCTTCTGCTTGTGGTGGCATCGGTGGGAGGACGCCGAAAATGACCCACCTATGGAATCTGAAAGCAGAACACAAGAAAAAGGGTTTCAAATCTGCTATGAGTATTAAGTAAAAAACATTTCCATGACAAAAAAAAAAAAAAGCAGAAGTACTTCAGAAGAGAACTATAGATCTTGAGCAACAAAAGGCCGCAAAGATTCCAAAGGCTCCCCCTCTGGACAGTCTGAAAATACAGAGCACACATGGAGAACGCAGCTCAGCACCAAAATCAGAGGCCATTTTGAGGCCACACATCAGCAGAGAATTGGTTCCAAAACTGAAGCAAAGCATGTGTGAATTTTCTGTATCAAAGCTGTCCCCTTTAGAGAAATTTTTCACTTTCAGAGGACTCTCACACAACTTGACCATCTCTCTCACTCCTCCTTTGCAACAGCAACCCCATCGATCCTTGCCTCCTTGTGTCCCATCCACCCTAAGCTCCAGCTCAGACACAAAGGTTGCTAATTTATATTCAAGCACCACTCAGCAATAACCCAACCTGGATCCTGGACCCAACCACCATCCATTCTCCTCTCTTCTCCGCCGATAGGAATCTCAGCTGAGATCCCGTTTGTCATGAAGGCATCGATCATCACGCTGTGATTACGGTGAGGAAAGCAAAAAGGGAGAAAGGCTATGAAGGAGGGAGGAGATTACATCTTTCTCTAACCAAGGCCCTACACAAAGAGGCAATGCATGATCAGCACAGTCACGACAGCAGCTTTGTTCATGAATGAATGGATGCATGAGTTCCTTTTCAGCGGGGAGCCTGCAGCAGTTCAAGCACGAAACAATTATTATACTGAACACAAGTCATCTGCTTCCTTTTCCTTGTGTGCACATACACACTACATTATGCACATATGTTGGGGAGGAGATACTTGTAGATTTGGAAACAGAGTATCAACAGAATAAAGGATTATTTCATTATAGACTCAGGGATGCAACAAAAGCAAATATGACCTTCACAATGTGCCAGTTTGTGCTGTGAAGATGCATGACTAAACAGTATGGTTAGAAAATCTATTCCCCAAACACATAAGCTACAGAAACTAATTATATACTTTCTTCGTGCAAACTAATTGCTGAAAGTTATGTCTTTATATAGCTACTGTCAAATAAAGCTTACCCCTCTAATACAATTCCTGGCTTTGTAATAAAAAGCCTGGACCCTTTTCCTTGTAGCCTTTGGGGTAGTTTTAGCTTGTAGCTACATAAAGTTGTAATGGCACATCAGAATTTAAAATCCTGATTTCTCATAAGAACATTTTAATTCAACTTAAGCATCAGTCACTCCAGCCTTCTCCTCTCATCTCCTCACTGATTTTTTTTCCTCCCAGCAACAGTGCTATCCCTTCGGCACAGAGCAGCAAGGCCAGGCTAACAGGATGTTAAAATGGCTTTAAGGGAGAGATTAACCAACTGGGAGTTATTTGATGCTAAAAATTATGTGGAATATAAGTCATCTGCTTTCTCCTATTCCTCACTCATGGAGGAGGAGAAATAAGGTGCAGAGCACCAAGAAAAGTAAGGGTTCACCTGAGCAAGCAGGTGGAGGAGAAGGAGAGAGAAACCTTCAGGACAAACAGACTGCATGGAAGGGGCACCTTGACATGGGGATGGTCAGGATGCAGCAGCTCACACAAGCTGGACCTCTTCCCTTTGGGCACACTGCTGACCCAGGCAGTGCACCCACCCTCTCCTCCCAGCTCCTCTAATATCCACAGGTGGATAATGCCAATGGGGAGGAGACCCCCTTCTCACTCCCAAATGCTCTTATACAGCAATGACTCCTACATGATGAACACAGTCAGTTAAGAGCCTGAAAAGGTCTTTATTTTTTTAAATTGCAACTATTTAATAATAGGGCTTTGCACATTACAAAGGCTTGGAGAAGTCACAAACCAATGGGCCAAATACAAAGGCCTTTGCTGTCTTTTCAGGGCAGCATGACCACTGCAAAAGGAGGAGACACCACGCAACTTCAGATGGCAATACAAGCACCTAAGACTGGACTTAAACAAGGGAAGGGACACTTTAGAAACACAAACTGGTGAGACACATCACTGTTCTTACTTGGCTGGCTAAAAAGAAAATAAATAATCTACTGAAATTTGTCTTCATACCGGACTTGACCTGGACTCCAGCCTTCTCCCATGCCTTTGTTTAAACTATGACATATTTTTACATCCGTAGCCTTTGCTACCAGCAATACTAGCACAATACAGCTGGAGCCCTTGCAGTAGCTATCAATCTTTTTTTTTCCTTACGTGAAAGAACTGAATCAAACTCACAAACCCAGAGTTTCAGTTGGCAAAATAAGCAAAAGTCCCCCTGACTTCACAGCAAACAAGCAAGACTCCTTAACTGAGAGTCTGCCCCAGACTCCTCTCCCACAACCCGACTTATCAGACACCTACAAAGGCAAAGTGAAGTAATTGCTTGAAATAAAAAGTGCAAATATGTATTCAAAAGAAGGCCAAAATCTGAGAGCGTGTTCAAGGCCACAACACATTTCTCATTCCACAACTTAACACAACCTTCCCCTGACAAACAGGAGCTGTATCTTCTTGCCAGGACTATGCAAACTGGCATCTTGTGACTGAAGTCACAAGAGTAAAATCACGGCCTGTCTGAAAACAGCCTCTGCATATAAGGGCCGTGAATCTAGAGGAGCACCAGGGAACCCCGTACAGTTTTCTAGGCTTCATGTTGGGGGGCACAAAGAACAGCATCTGCTCATTCTTATGGCTTTAAATATTGGATGGACTTCAATTCATGCCCTGCAATAGGTGCTGCTCGAACCATTTCATTCCATACTGCATGTGAACCCAGAACACAGCCTGCCAGTATTACCATGAGCCCTGCTGAGACAGCAGCAGAAGTGGCAACATAACACTTGCTCCCCTGAGCCACAAGCACATGGGACAGACCTTCTGAAACCTTTAGTAAGCCAAGGTGAAGGATACATTACACGAACCACAACATGAACCACCCTGCCTTCAGGTGTCCAAGGCATCCTTGTCAGAGCCCCATTTGAGAAAGCAGAATATTGCCCCAAATAATATTGCAGAATATTGGCACACTTCTCGCTCCCCGTGTCCCTGGTCTCCTGGATCTCAAGGCCTGAGCAACCTCCCCACACTATATAAAAGGCAGCCATGGATGTTCTCAGCTCAGCAAAATGCATCCCAAAGCCTGTTAGGGGTTTTCACCAGAAGCATTCATGCTCTGCAAGCATAATCTGAAAGGCTTGGTATTTCTTAAATGCTACAATACATGACTGGATTTAATTTTTTAAAAAATACGTTTTTCCAGTTGAAAAAATCTTGATAGGCACTTCTCAGAATACTGTCAAAATTAATTTCAGACTGAAAACCAAGGTATTTAAGATAAACTTCTATGAGCATGTGAAATAAGTGGCATTCAGAATTGAAAGAAAGAGAAAAGAAGACTTCAAAACAGAGCCCAGGGACTGACAGACAGGGGGAATGATAAATCCCTGTCCACCTGGGTGGTTAGAGAGGAAAGGTCTGTGTGTCAGAGGTGGCCCTGAAAGAGCACCTGCACAGCCTTCCCAAACTGGATGATTACAAGGAACACAGAGAGAAAAACAACAACTATGAGGTGAATGCTCATAAGCTTTACTGATTTTTTGAGGTGTTCCCATTATGGCAGTGAAATAGTGTAACTAGTTACACTGAATCTTCACATGTGCTAATACAGTTTAACAGGAGAAAAACCACAATTAATTTGCTGTGGCAGGCTTTGTAAACAGATTCCAAAAAGCACACTTCAAGGTACAGTTTACTAAAAATAAATTAGCTTAACACCAGTGGAAACTGAAAAGGGGTTGCAAACCTCGTTTTGTCACATGCAGCCAGACCCAGAGCATGTGCACAGAAGAGAGGGAACCATAAATTAATGCAAATTAAAAGCAAGGGTTTCTCCACTGCCTTTAAAAACACACTTGCTGTTCTTGAAGGAATAAGCAATCTCGTATCTCTGGTCTATATCCAACTCTCCCTGTGCTTGTTAGGATGATGCCTATCGGGTTGCTTTCACCTCGGTGAACTACTCAACTTGGCATTACAAGATGACCAGGAAACAAAGCTTTGGTCTTCCACAAAGACAAGACTATAGCTTTGCAGGCATTGGGGCTGGAGCATTAAATCCAGAACGTCTGAAATTATGGAGCATCTTGGGTTAAACTTTACGAATTAGGGACATATCTACAAGGTGGATCTGAGCCAGGAGGTCAGATCTAGCACTCTCATCCAAGACTCCAAAACAAGTCAAAGCTAAAACATAACTTATTTTCATCTGCGCTATTTTAGCAGTGATGAGATGTATCAAAAGAGTAGGTTTGCACATAGTGTAAGATTTTCCATTTAAATTGCAAACTACAAGACAAGAGGCAGGTGCAGACAGACCACAGGCACATGAAAGGAGATAACACCACTCAGGATCGAGTTTGGAGTTGTACTTTTTTTTTTTTTTAGGCCAAAAAGCAAAGCTCTGTTTAAAGTAACAGATCTGAAAGACAACTAGGATGATTTTACAGTCTTTTGTAAGAAGGCTCCCCAGTATAAAAGGTGGGCAATAGGGGCTGGAGTTGATTGCAAGATGATCCACAATGGATCCAGCTTTCAGACCTGACTGACGGGGGATAGGGAAGTGCCTAGTTTGTGAGGAGTCTTCCAAGTGAAAAAGCTGATTTTTAAATTTCATAGAGAAAAATAAAACTAGTAAAAAAGAGAGGCAAAAAGTGTCAAGAAGGACAAACAGCAGGAAAACAGGTACTACAGGAGAAATTTGGAATAAATACAAGTGTGGCAAGACTTTGTCAATGGCAGAGGAGAGAAGACTGAGGCTTGCAGAAAGAAAAAGAAAGGCTGTAATCTGAAGATGAAACAGATGCAGGCATAATGTGCAGGACTCACTGATGTGTTTTAGCTGATTTAAGAGATTTAGGAGACTGTGGTTTCCTCTGCCTCTCTGCTCAGCCAGGATGTGCATCTGCCCTCCACCACATGCAAGGCAGTAGCTGAGGAGCAGAGATGTGCCCTCTTCTACCGTCACTCCTCATGTGGAGACAACAACCTCTGCAGCAGTGCCAGGCTGCTACTTGGGTGTGGGGCTTTTTCAGCAACATCAGCTGAAACCCTCAACGTACAAGTTCCTGGGTACAACTCAGATGTGAGTCTTTACAAAGGCTTGCTTGAAGACCATGCTGAGGCTATGAGAATTCGTAAGAGCCAGGAGGGTGGCAAGTTTTATAATGGTTGAAAAAAAGAAGGTAGAAGAGCTGAGGAGTGACAGGAGAGTAAGAGCTCTGCTTCAGTTCTCTTAAGCCTGAGTTGTCTGCAATAAAACAACAACAACAAACTCAGAGCAAAAATGTAGGGTGGCCAAAAGAGACTTAAGTACTGCGGAGAAGAGATAAATCTGTTAATTGCTTGTAGGAAGGATATGGCTGAACTAATGCTTGTGGTTGAAATTACCCAGAGAGGGATGAGAAGATGCTCCTGGGCAGAGCCTAGAGGACCCTTGACCAGATGTGGGAAGGAAGATAAGTAAGACCCACAAAATG